TCCTGTTTTGATGCATCGGGCTTATGTTCTAAGAGCATGGTTTTGGTTTGAAGAACATTTTCGGGATCCTAGAACATGTCATGGTAGGCCTAGAGGAATGCCGGGACGGTCGGTCCCTGCTCAAAGGTGGGTCAGGGGCTTTGTCGGACGGGGCTAAGATTCAGTCGGGCATCTACAGGAGGGATATTCAATAATAGCCAACAAATAGTATGGTGACGATTTCTCGTGTTCTTTGGATTTGTTCTCATTCTGCGTTGGCAATGTTGCATCTGTCTTGCAAAATCCGCCTGTAGGAGAGCATGCCCGACCTAAAGCTAGGACGAGGATAAATCCGTTCCAGAGCGTTCAGGGGCGCTCTCAGAGCGTTCTCAGATCGTTCCAGAGCGCTCTGAGAAGGCCGGAGGGGTATTTAGCCAACCCCCGAGGGGAGGCTGCCCAATCCCCGAGGGGAGTCTGCTTTGCTATAGTTATGTCGGGCCTGTCCCTTTACAGGAGGGAGATTCAAAAATGGTCAAGAAATAGTCAGGGGACGATGTTTTACTATGTTGTAGCATTTTGGCAATATTTCTTGAGTATGTTTAATGTTCCGCCCAAAATCTCCCTGTAGGGGGACAGGCCCGACCTTTTGCCAGAGAGGAGTCTGCCCAGCCCCCGAGGGCAGGTGAGCGTCGCCTGACACTTGGACAGGTCGGGCCTCCGTGACGCACGTGCGCCCCGAGACCCTGGGGCGCCCGAGCGTCCGGAGGAGGAGGAGGAGAAGGTGGGGGAGGAGCCACAGGAGGAGGCGGAGGAGGCGGAGGGAGGAGGTGGGAGGAGGGAGGGGGGAGGGGGGGGAGTAGGGAGGAGGGAGGAGGAGGAGGATTCTTGGATTGGCTCCTCGCTGAAGCATAAGGAGGGAGGAGAGGAGGAGGGAGGGAGGAGGAGGAGGGGAGGGAGGGGAGGAGGGAGGAGGAGGAGGAGGAGGAGAGGAGGAGGAGGAGGAGGCAGGAGGGGGAGGGGGACGAGGAGGAGGAGGAGGAGGAGGAGGAGGAGGGGCAGGAGGGAGGAGCCTCGGAGGAGGGCCAGTCGATACCACGGCGGCCCTCCTTGGCTTTTGTCGTCCTCGCTGGTCCTCCTGGAGGCTTCTCGTCGCCACGGCCGGATCCGCCTCGACAGCGGGTCGGGATGGAACCCGGGAGGGGTCGGGGACCAGGTTTGAGCGGAGTTGGGCCGGGCGGGGGGGCTGACTTTTGTTTCAAGTGGCCTCATTGCGGAGAGGAGAAGGAGGAGGACGAGGAGGACGAGGAGGACGAGGAGGAGGAGGAGGAGGAGGAGGAGGAGGAGTAAGAGGAAGAGGAGGAGGAGGAGGACGACGACGAGGAACAGGAGGAGCAGGAGCACGAAGAACAGGAGGATGCTGGATGCTGGACTTGTCCGCCTCCAAAGAGGCAGGTCCGAAGGGAAAAGGGTGAATCGCAAGGGCCGTCAGCACGAATCGGCCACGCAGCCGGCTCACAGTGCTCGTCCTTCACATCCAAACCGCCAACATCACAACCGACAGAAACAATATTGTCGCCACCTTGCGGCAGGAGGAAGAGCAGGAGGAGCTTCGGGAGGAGGAGCAGGCGGGGGATCGTCTGAGCGGCCGAAGAGGGCACCAGGAAGAGCAGCTGTTGAGCGATTTTGCAAGGGCACGCCGTCTGGGGGATTGGGCGGAAAAGAACGAGCATTCTAACACTTTCTTGTCGAGGCGGCGCGGTGGCGGCTCTGCCGATGGCCAGGGGCCCCTCCGCTTGCGCATTGCGGCGGCGCCGCCTTGCGGTGGCGAGAGCATTGCCCAGAGGTCCGATGCACGTATTGTTCCGTGACGCCGGCCTCCGAGGATCGAAGCAGTTCATCTTCAGATTCCGGCGAGTTTGCGTTCAAGAGTGAAGGGGGGGGGGGCGTGGTCAGGCCCGAGAGGACACGGGGGCTTCGCGCAAGTCGGGACCCGCTTGCACGCCTGGCCGGCCAAGCTCTGTTTGAAAAGGCAGCGGGCGAACGGGGGTGGGGCGGAATGCCGTGCAAGAAAACCTGCTAGAGTCGACATAAAAACACGCGCATCTCGAGCATTTCCCGGGGCCGGCTTTCCATCCTGCGACGTTTCTTGGTGGCCTCGGGGCCACGAGATGGCCCCCGGAGGCCGAAGCTTGCAAACGACCCGCCGTCGCGATTTTCGCTGCGTCGCCCGTGTCGTGGAGATTATGAGCAGCTCTCGCGGGGGGTAGCGTTCGCATCGTCGCTCGGCGGGTGCGGAATATGATCTCGCCTCCAGAAGACTCGGACGGCGGGAGCGACCCCGGCATGCACACCGTGGAGGGCGGGGAGATCGTCGACGACATGGGGATCAGCGGGATGTGCCTGGTGTGCACCGACAAGCAGGCCCCTCTCTTCCCCTTCGCACGCCCCAGTATCCCAGATGTTCGACGATACGGAGCTTTTCCACGAGACTACGACCCACGGGGACGCTGTTTTATCGGGCCCAGGGACCATCAAAAAGTTGACCGGGGCGACAAAATGCCCTGGGGAATGGGTTGAGATCTTTGGGGCCGCGTGTGGAAAACAACTTATCGGCGGATGTCAGGGCATCGCACGCCCCATCTTTTCTGTTCCTCTTGATACTGTTTCTGCTCATCCGTCTCCTCTCCCCCTTACGCATGCCCCAATCCCAGACCTCCAATGCATTGAAAACGTCAAGAAGGAGATTTTTCGCCGTTTTCAATATCCAGGGGCCCTCGTTGGGCCATAGGACCGAAAAATTAATCGTTGGATCCCTTCCTCACGCGTTCCCACACGCGCGATGGACGATGTTTTGAGTATGTTTGACAATGTGTGGGGTATGTTTTGAGTATTGTCTATTTTTCTTCCAAAATCCCCCTGTAGGGAGACACGCCCGACTTCAGCTTAGCTCATCGACTCGTTTCGTAAAGCAAGATGTCTCAACACAACATGTCGTATCGTACGTGTCTACTGCAGTGGGCACAGGCAGGCTCCCTGGCGGAGCGCGCACGACTCGGGCACTCGCTCCGCGCTCCGCGTCATCACCCCCGCGCGCCCAGATGCGCACGGTGGTCCTCATAGCCGCCCAGGCCGCGCCGACCCCCTTTGCTTGCGAACCGCCCCGACGCGCCCGCCAGGCTGTCTTTTTGCGGGATCGGGGGCGGCCAAGAGGGGGGTGGTGACCACAGGTGGAGGAGGAGGAGGAGGAGGAGGAGGAGGAGGAGGAGAGGGAGGAGGAGGAGGAGGAGGAGGAGGAGGAGGAGGAGGAGGCGGAGGGGAGGGGAGGAAGTCGGGCGGCCAAGAGGGGTGAGAAGTTTTTGTTGGGGGGGGGATAGCATGGGGGGGCCATGATATTCCCCAGATGTCATGCCGCCTCCAGTGGGCCGCACGCACGCCGCCACCATGTTTGCGCCCCCCCTCTTGCACGCCCCCCCCCCCCCCCCCTCTTGACCGCCCCCGACGGGAGGCATCCGTCTCGCACCCCGTCCTCGTCCTTCCTTGTCTCGGTCCTGGTCATTCTGCTTCGTCCTCGGGTCTCCATCACCCTGGGCCTCCTAGATGGGGTCGGAGTAGATGGGGGGTCGGAGGATCGCGCCGCATCGCCGATGCATCGCCGATGCGACTCGATGCGGCGCCCGATGTTCTCCACGCAGACGTCGCCGATGCGTTGCCGACGTCGACGATGCATCGGCGATGCGGCGCGATCTTCCGACCCCATCTACTCGGAACCACTAGGGAGGCTTCTAATCATACTCGGAACAGACGGGGCCGAGGGCGTTTCACCGTATTCGGCCTCCGAGGGGGCCCTGGCCAGGACCCAGGACCGTCAAAGCATGGTTCAGGAGGAAAGGCCCGCCACGGGGAAAGGGCGTGACAGGGGTAAGAGCACGGCCATGCGTACCGTAGTGTATTATTACACGGGATCGTGATCGTGTGACAGGGGGGGAGAGCACGGCCATGTGCACCGTAGTGTTGTTCTACCAAGGGTCGTGGCCGTGTGACAGGGGTGGGAGCATGGACGTGTGTATCGTAGCGTATCTCTCTTGCAAGGGGTCGTGGCCGTGCGACACGGGTGAGAGATGGTCATGTGCACCGTAGAAAGGGGCCGTGTGACAGGGGTGAGAGCACGGTCACGGGCACCGTAGTGTACTTTCTATTGCAAGGGATCGTGGCCGTGTGACAGGTTTGCGAGCACGGCCACGTGCACCGTATAGTGTTGTTTTGTTTTCCGTGGGTCGTGGCCGTCCGACCAAAACATGTGGCCAGCATCGAGGCGAGAACACGATTCTTGAATATTTTGTGAGGAAGTCTTAGGCGAAATGATTGCGGGCACTGGCGTTCTCGGGCTCCCCTTCCCCCGCATGGGACTCTTTTGTTGCCTCTTTCACCACTATTCAAATCTTTTAGCGAAGCGCTCTTAGGTAATCAAGACATCGGATCTCTGGGTATACAGTAGATACCCCAGTTAAGAGAGCACCCGGCCAGCATGTGCCTCATCGAAGTCTACTGTTCCCTCATGGCCCCGTGGACCTGCGGAAGTCTCGGGACGCCTTCGGAAGTCGAGCAGATCGACGACAAATGTTTACATCTGTTAGAAGGACTTCTGATCGTAAGTACCTGCTGTATGTCTCCTCATCGTCCTTTGTGGGATGCTCGTCAGGGTCATTCATGGCCGTCATGGACCATCTCGCCATGGTGTGGGAGTCCCAGAGGCCCATTGGAAGCTGCAAAAAGGCGAGGATGCTGAATGATCCAGAGTTCTTTTATGTGTGTTCAATGATTGTGCCTCTCGGGGCATCCTTTGGAAGCTCCAGGGCCACCTCGAGCTTTCTTAGGGCCTTCAAGAGCCATACTGGAGGCCATCCTGGGCCCACTTGAGAGCATGATTGCGCCATTTGGGCGCAATACTTGGTCTTTTAGACGCTCTGACCCCTGGCGCCCACCCCTCAGACCCCTGGGGGTGAGGGGCGAATCCTTCCCCGTAGTCGACAGAGAGGTTGTTATGGACAATCGGGCGCCCAGGTCCACTTACGCTCAGAGTGCTGGTGGACAAACACAGCTATGTTACAGTCATGCGCTGTCATGGTGCACCACCCCTGCTTCGAAATGCATGCGTACAGTTGACAGACATGGATCGGAGACACAAGGTCACGGTGTAGTTTGTCGCGATCTGAAATTGGCTTTATGGGTTGGGAAAGGGCACGGTGGCGGGAAATCACACGATTGTTGAGAATGGGGCTTGCGTGACGTGGCACGATTGCGCATTTTGCCCGCTGAAGCTGCGGGGGCCTGCGTGAGATGGCCGGTCGCTTGTGCATCCTCATTGGGGTGTTGACGCGCCCAGGGCAGATTCTTTGATACCAGCTGTGGTCTAATGTGCGTTCGAGGTTTCTCTGCACGCGACCGAGAATGGATCTTCCCGGCATAGCGGTGTGTGTGTGCGGGTGTCAGCAGGACCGAGGCCCCTGGCTAGGAGAGGCTCGCGTTGTTTGCCCCTACCCTACCTTTTGCAATCTTTTTTGTTGTGCGCACACACACACACGCCTGTCGTTGGAAGTAGGTTCCCAGATCCCAATCTACTTCGAGCGCCTCCCTACTCCAAGAATCGAGTTGATGATGCTGTGTGTTGTTATTCTCTGGGAGGGCCTGAACCCAATCTACTTGATCCGCCTTCCTGAAAGCATCGTCAAAAATAAACAGAAGACTTCTGAATTCGGTGATTGTGGGGTCAGCGCTACTCCAATGCTGAGGGATTCCCGTTGACTCGGACGCGGTGTTGTCCAAAAACCGACCCCACCCTCTCAGCATTGAAGAACGCGCTTTCTGACAAGTGCCCGAAAGTATCGTTCCCCAGGAGTTCAACTTCCATTTCTGGATATTTTTGACGAGGCTTGTACTATACGTTTTCACCTACTTCCGACCGACGTGTACAGTCAAGACGCCGAGGTATGGATCACGTTGGGCTCCGGAGGGGCTCCTGCTCTTTCCGGACCGTCCCTGCAGTCTTGGCCGGGGGACATGCGTTGCAGAGGCTCGCCGTGGCCGGGAAAGCTCCTTCGTTCCGTGTTCGGGCTTCCGCGTAGTACAGTGAAAACCCATAGCAAGGACGGGTAACCTTCCCAAGGGCACCGTTGCGTCCTTCGATTTGCTCAGCAGTGCGCCGATAGAAAGGCTTCAACTGGGGCGGCCAAGGACCGTCCAAGGGTCTTGCGTCCTGACAGCGCGTCCTTACAACAGATTTGACTGCACCACGATGACTGTATTTCCCACCCCCCTCCCCTCAACCACCAGGTGAGCGACGCGGGAAGAGGGGGTCGCCTGCGCAAACATTCGCTCACAGCTTGCCTGCGCAAGGTCGCGCCGTTCTCCCCGTGCGGTGTACCGGCGCTTCGGCGGCCCGCGACAGCCCTCGCGCAGGGTCGCCGTCCCCCCCACTCGTGCGCAAGACTCCCTCCTCTTCGACGCCCAGATGCGTGCGGGCGGGCGGACCCGCTCAGACGCTGAGACGGCCACCTGCACCCTCAGGCGTTCGTGCTCCAGGCGCTGATTCTCTACTACATCGCGGCGGCGCTCCAGCCCCACCCACGCCTCAGCGCCGCGAAGGAGGGCATGGGGGGGGGAAGGGGTCTCGCGCGGAGCGCGCTGCTCCAGAGAGACGTGGGTATGGGATCCGACTCCTGGGAGGTTAGATTCAGCATCGGCGCTGATAGATCCGCGGTCGGAAACCAGCCTAATCCAGCACAGTCCCGCTGAGTCTGACCTATTCTCGCTGAATCCGGCTTTCTTGGGCTTAATCCTGGGCTCAATCCATGTTGACCTGGTTTAGTTGCCCATTAATCGGGCCTGATAGTTCAATCGCTCTTGCGAAGGCCTCCCAGGAGTTGCCTCCTAAGGGCAGGGCAGAGCAGGGGGCTCCGCCACTTCTGGGCCAAGCCGGACGGGGATGCAGACCGCTCCCCCGTCGGCCCCCCCCCGCGCTCCGCGCGGACCCTGGCGGCACGCCAGTCCGCTGGCGGTGGTCGGTCTGAGGGGCCCTCTCTCCCTCTCTCCCCCTTGCGATCCGACTCCGCGAAGAACGCAGCACCGCCAGGCATCACCACCAGAGCCCCAGATCTTTCATTGGCTGTGCCGTTCCTCGAGCCGGCCAGATGGTCCCAGGCCCCGAGACCGAGCAAAAAAACGCCCAGTGCGAAGAAGATGCGGCGCCTGGGTCTCGGGGTCATCCTCGGGTGCAGCGTCCGGGTGTCGGGGGGAGAAGCGGCTCGGGAAGGGCCAGCGGAAGCGGGGCACGCCAGTGCCACTTGCGGATGCGAGTTGGGAGCCGAGCACATCCGCTCAGGGCAGCCCCGACTCCGGAAGGGGTGGGTGGCCGCAGCCAGGGTGCGGCGCTCCCCGCAATTGCCTCCACCGAGGCGCGCGTGAAGGGAGGTGGCAGGGTTCCAGACGGACTTTTGACGCTCGTCTTGCCCAAATGGCCCGGGGGCGACAACTTTCCCGGAATCTCGGAATCGACGTTGTGCTGTTTTTTGTATGTTTCTAAGCTTCGTGGTGCGTTCCAGCAGCTGCGCCTCGCTACGAACGTTCGGGGGGGGGGGGGGGGGGCAGAATCGCCCCGAGCGGCCGCCAGGGGCCCGAGTTAGGGCCTGAAAACCAGGGAGCGGAAGTCAACCTCCTCATCCTCATGCCTCCTCCTCCTCCGCCTCCTCCTCCTCCTCCTCCTTCCTCCTCCTCCTCCTCCTCCTCCTCCTCCTCCTCCTCATCCCCCTCCTCCTCCTCCTCCTCCCCTCCTCCTCCTCCTCCGCCTCCGCCTCCTCCTCCGCCTCCTCCTCCTCCTCCTCTCCTCCTCCTCCTCCTCCCTCCTCCTCCCCTCCTCCTCCTCCTCCTCCTCCTCCTCTTGGGGGGGGAGCATCGACCCACTCCTTGCCACTCGGGGCCCGGGCCCCCCACCCCGCCCAGAGAGGTGCGGTGTCGCCAACTTCGGGGCCTTTCGTCGCCGACCCGTCGGCGATGCCTCGCCGACTCCCAGGGCGGGCGGGCGCTGCCCGTCCGAGGGGCCGTCCGGTCTCGAGCCGCGCCAGGCCGCGAGACGCCAGGTTGTTCTCATATTCAAATTTTGTGTTGAGCACATGTTTAAAAGATGTTGTCGCTAAATCTGGTGTTACAGAATACATCCATAAACTCTTGAAGAAACTGAATCATCCGACTCCAAGGAAACCTCAGCATTCACCCCATGAGCATCATCCATTCACCATTGGCGGCGAGGGCGAGGGGGGCGGGCGGGCGACCGCCCGGCGGTGCCGCGAGCCACGGGGGGCACGGGAATGGGAGGGGGGGGGGGGCGTTCGATCCTCGAATCTCGTTCCTCGATCCTCGAAGCGTCGAGTCCTCGAAACTCTCGATCCTCGAAAATCTCGATCCTCGATCCTCGAGCGCCTGCAGGCGGGGGCCGCTTGTCGAGGAGAGGGCGGGGAGGCCCTCCCCGTTTCCATTGTGTACGCCGCCATCTACCTGCAGTTCATCGTGGTCGTGAAGGACATCCCGCGCTCCCTGTTCGTGGCGCGCTGGTTTCACCAGGCCAGGCCAGCTGGCGTCGGCGCCGCGTTCTGGGGGGGGCGTTGTGCCAAGATGAGCCATGTGATGGTCAAGGCTGCTTGAAGTAAGCTGATCGGAAGCAGCACGTGAGCACGCATGATGCATCGCAGGCCATGCACATGATTACTTCGCTGAGCAGTGCTAGACAGAGGTGAGCGCGTCTCAATTCAAGGCCTGGTAAGATACAGGTTTAAGAAAACTGTTAGCGTGCCTATAAAAAGAGCGCTTCGCTAACCGCACCAGAGATCACCAGAGATGCACAAGACCTGCAGACAACCTCGAGACGATGCCAATGTGGCCCCATGTCCCAATCACCCCAGCAAGGCACCCTAACAGCAGCGAAGGTGAAGAGGCGGGTCGAGGAGTACAGTGGAAACCCATGCCAAGAAACACCCTGCTTGCCTCCAGGGTGCCCTGGGTGTCTTGGGATTTGATGGTTTTGCTATGGAAAGCCTGACGTTCCCACACCAACAATCAATGGACGTCCTGGGGTCTCAGGGTTGGGTTTCTTGTGGAAGGTTGTGGTCTAGCTCCTGCTATAGGAAGCCGGTCAGTGAAAACGTGCATTCTGGGTATTTTGATGGACTCTTAGGCATTACGGGGGTGTGAGAGCGCGGCCACGTGCACCGTAGTGTATTTCCCAACCATCCTGTGGTGCTGGGTCGTCGTTTTGAAGAGAACGCCCCGCGTTCCGCACTCATTCCTCCTCTTCCTACCCCCTCCTCCCATGGCTGCCTCTGCCCTCCGCACGCCCCCATCGTCATCATAGTCATCATCGTCATCATCATCATCATCACCATCACCATCAGCATCCCGTTCCTGCCTCAGCCCTTCCATGCCCACGTCGGCACACCCTCACACGCTTCGTGGCTCCATAGGGAGCTCCACCGAAGGCCCTAGCAGGGTCCGCATAGAACCAGCACCCATTTCGGCACAACCCTGGGAGCTCCACCGAAGGCCCCAGTGGCAGAGTCCGCATGGCGCCACCGCACCCATTTCGGCACACCCCTCGCACGTTTCGTGGCCCGCAGGGTCCGCATGGCGCCACTGCGCCCATGTCGGGATACCCCGCACACGTTTCGTGGCCCCATAGGGGAGCTCCACCGAAGGCCCCAGTGGCAGGGCCCACATGGCGACACCACACCCATTCTGGCACACCCTTCACACGTGTTCGTAGCCGCACGGTGCACTTGCACCCGATGTGGCACACCCCTCACGCGCTTCGTGGCCCCGTAGGGAGTTGCCCCTTTCTCCCTTGCGGCACTCCCATCCGCAGAAGGTTTGGTCCCTTCGCCAGGATACTTCTAACCAGAGATCGCGGCCCTGTGTAAGGGCTGAGAGCACGGCCACGTGCACCGTAGTGCTTTTTACAAGGGATCGTGGCCGTGTGACAGGGGATGAGAGAGCGGATATGAGCACCGTAGTTCATGTCGCCCACATCCTAAGTGGGACCATTGTTTTCTCTGGACAACCCCGCGCAGGAACAGGACCCCCTTCCCACATCATCATCATCATCATCATCATCATCATCATCATCATCATCATCATCATCATCATCATCATCATCATCATCATCATCATCATCGTCATCGTCATCGTCATCGTCATCATCATCATCATCATCATCATCATCATCACCATCACCATCACCATCACCATCATCATCACCATCACCACCATCATCATCGTCATCATCATCACCACCATCATCATCAGCATCATCATCGTCATCAGCATCAGCATCAGCATCAGCATCAGCATCCGCATCATCATCACCATCAGCATCCTCATCATCATCATCGTCGTCCTCACCACCATCATCATCATGATCGTCCTCGCCACAAGCATCAGCATCATCATCATCATCGTCATCGTCATCGTCATCATCAGCAGCATCATCACTGTCATCACAATCATCATAATCATCAGAATCGTCATGAGCATCACGATCATCATCAGCAGCATCATCATCACCGTCATCATCATCGTCGTCAGCATCAACGACTGTCGTCATTGTTGGATCTCTCGGTCCTGAATCTGGAGAGGAAGGCTCGAGCGGGAGCGTCGTCAGTGTGTGAATCGCGAGGCAATCTCAAGCGGGAGCCCCTCCCACTCCGCCTTGGAATCTGAACGCGGGCATCCAAATCTTGTCATTGTGGCACGCTTGGGCAAGTCTCGAGCGGGAGTCCCTTCCTATGGTGTCCGCACCTCAACGTTGGAATCCGAGTGGGGCCAGCCAAACCTTTGTAACAGTCGTCACGGTGGGGCTCCTTAGGCCTGACTCTGGAGGAAGTCTCCAGCGGGAGCCTTGTCTGTGAGTGAATGGCGAGGAAGCCTGGAGCGGGAACCCCCTTCCTATGGGGGCCCCACCCCGTGGTTCGATGGTTCGAATCCGAGCGGGGTAATGCTTGGGGCTCCGAAGGCCTGAGTCTCGAGGAACTCTCGAGCGGGAGCCTCGTCGTGTCAGATACCACCAGCGACGGGCCCACCAGCGCGGGCGAAGAGCTTGTTCATGTTCCAGACTAGCGAGCAGGAGCTCACGTGGCAGAGTTCGGGGTCGCACGTCGTGCGCCGCTCGGAGTTCACCCTAACGCACGCGTCGTACCTCACCTCTGCGACGCTGTCGCAGGTACGACGCTGCGCAAGGGCGTCCCCATCGAGCGCCGGGACAAGGACGACCGCACGGGCATGTCGGACGAGCATTAGTGGCTGCACCGCTAAGTCATGTTCTCCCGCGGCACGCGCGTGCCCGCTCGCGAGTTTCTGGAAGGCGGGCCGCCGGCTTCTTTGCGAAGGCGCTCAGGGAGTTCGACAAGAGAGCGGTGAGCTCCAGGGCTGAGGCGGAGCAGCGCGCAGCGGAGCCAGGCTTCACGCTGCTTCCCGCCTGAACACGGCGGCGCCCCGCTCGAGGTCCGCGGGGTTGTCTCAACAGCTTGCTCCCGCGCCTCAGCGACTCGCGGGGTGGCCCCAAAGGCTTGGCCCGCGGGGCTGGCCCGACGGCCTCGCGATCTTGCCGTCGGCGAGCGCGCCCCAGTCAGCCGCGGCGGCGATGCCGCCCAATAGAAACAAGTTGCGCGCCTTTGTTAGAAGTGTGGGAGGAGGGGGAGGGGGGGGAAGAGGCAAAAACACGAGGAGCAGGTGGAGCAGGGGGCGGGAAGAGGGCTTGCGCCATGGCGAAAAAGAGAAAGGCAATGCGGAGACAGAGAGGGAGCCTCCGCACTCACCGATGAGCTGTACTTGCAGATTGTTCTGGGGGATTCTCACGCGGGCCCGACCGTCGGAGTTACTGTTACCAATGGTCGCGGGGTAAGGGCGAGATCACGGTCATGCGCACCGTAATGTGTTTTCCAAAACCATCCTGTGGTGTCGGGTCTTCGTGTTGAAAAGACAGTGCCCCGCGTTCCTTCTTCCGTCTTCCTCCTTCCTCCTCCCCTTCCTCCCTTCTCCGCCTCTGCTTTCCGCATGCCAACCAGATCAGCACACCGCTCAAATTTCGCCCTGCCGTATACGGAGTTCACCCGCTGGCGCCACTGGCACAGTCCGCAAGGCGTACCCGCATCCGATTCGGCGCACCCCTCACACGCTTCATGGCCCCATAGGGAGCCCCACTGGAAGCCCGCGTGAAACAGTCCACATGGCGCACCCGCGCCCGATCCGGCATCCCTTTCACACGTTGCGTGGCCCCACGGAGAGTTCTTCCGAAAGTCCCAGCGACACAGTCCGCATGGCGTACCCGCACCCGATTCGGCACACTTTTCATCACACGTGTCGTGGCCCCGCAGGCAGCTCCACCGAACAGGCCAGCGACAGCGACGCACCCCGCACGACGGACCCGCATCCGACTCGCCCCCCCCCCCCCCCCACACACACACACGTTTCGTGGCCCCAATAGGGAACTCCACCGAAGGCCCCAGTGGCAAAGTGCACATGGCGCACCCGCATCCGATTCGGCGCACCACACACGCTCCAGGGCCCCAAAGAGCGAGTGCTCCACAGAAGGCCCCAGCGGCACAGCCCGCATTGTACCCGCACCCGTTTCGGCACACCCCTTACACGCTCCGTGGCCCCATAAAGAGGGCTCTATTTAGGGCCCCAGATGCGGCGCCCGCATGGCGGCCCCGCCCCATTTCTGCACACCCTTCACACGCTTCATGGCCTCATACGGAGATCCACCCAAGGCGATACATACAATGATTGTATTCACAGCTGCATACGGTTGGGTCTTTCGCCAGGCGAATTTTCCAAACCATCCTGCTGTGTTGGGTCCTCGTATTGCACAGACAGCGCCCCGCATTCCTCTTTCCTAGTTCCTCCTTCTTCCCCCTCCTCCCCTTCCTCCCCCTCCTCTTCTTCTTCCCCCCCGCCTTCATCCCGCATTCCTACATCTGCCCCTCGCGTGTCCACATCGGAACGCGATTTACGCGCTTCGTGGCCCCAGTGTGCTCCACCGGAGGCTTCGGTGGCACAGTACGAATGGTGTGCCCGCACCCTATTCGGCACACCCCCACACGTTCCGTTGCCCCATCGGGAGCTCTACCGATAGCCCCAGTGGCACAGCCCGCAGGGCGTACCTGCATCCGATTCGGCAAACCCCTCACACGCTTCGTGACCGCACAGAATGTTCCACCGAAGGCCCCAGTGGCACAGTCTGCATGGCGTATTCGCATCCGATTCGGCACACCTCACATGCTTCGTGGTCTCATGGAGGGTTCCACCGAATGCCCTGGTGACACAGTCCGCATGGCGTACCCGCATCCAATTTGTCACACCCCTCAGACGCTTCGTGGCCCAATAGGGAGATCTACCGACGGCCCCAATGCCACAGCCCGCATGGCGTACCCACACCCGATTCGGCACACCCTTCACACGCTTCGTGGCCCCACAGGGAGCTCCACAGAAGGCCCCAGTGGCACAGTCCGCGAGGCGTACCCGAACCCGATCCGGCACACCACTTACACGCTTCGCGGCCCCATAGGGAGCTACACGTCCGCATGGTGTACCCACACCCGATTCGGCACACCGCTCACACGTTTCGTGGCCCCATAGGGAGTCCCACCGAAGGCTCCAATGCCATGGTCCGCACGGCGCCGTAGCCATTTTGGCTCAAGGCATGTTGGCTCAAGCCAATTTGGCTCTCAAGTGCTTGTCTTCTCAAGCCTTCAGCTTACTGCAACGCATTTGGTGAAAACGCCTTGAGATGGAATCGCGTACTTCCGCAGCGGGAGACTCAGAGCAGGGCTCTCTAGTTTGCCACAATTCAAGTGACTCTTCAGACTCTTCAGACCTGCCCAACGATTGGTTGGTAGAGGCCATCATGAGAACTAGCAAGTGTTTCTTCATTTCGGGAGCACTCATGTTTGCCTTCGTTGGACTTGTCATCGTGCTTGAGGGCATACCTGGATAGAAACGTGGCATTAACTCATTCGTGCCAGCTCGAGCCCAAATGCTTTTCTACATGATGGTGATCACTTTGTTCACTGGTGCTATGGTTCAGTTCAAGATTGCTGGGTCACCCAGCCTTGTGAAATCAAGCTCAAGCTGCATTCCTGAACGTGCTAAGGAGATTGCAAAGAAAGCTGTCCAGACCGTTTCACTTGTGTGCTTTCTCAAGGGCACAATCAAGGATGTCTGCATCGCATGGGCTTATAGTATAGAATTGTTGACAGAAGGGCAACCATTTCTCACTGTTCTACGGCGTGGTGCCACTGCATATGGTCTTGTTGTCCTTACAGGGCCGAGTGCTGACGACGTTTGGAAACTGTTTGGCCTTTTGTCCATCTACTGGGACCGATTGAATTTCTCTGCCCTGCATGATTCAAATACGTTGCACAGGTCAAACATGACAATCTAGGAGAAACGGTGCGAACCCTTACATCCAATCACAAAAAGAACATGGAAGAATCCCGCAGTTGTGAAGACATGGAAGTAGTCCAATATTGGGATCGCGGCGGAGGAGTTGCACAAGTTCCCGATCACGAGAAGACTCTCCGAGACTGCATGGTATTCGAAAGGATGGAATTGGTCATTCAGCATGCCAACGTTCGTGCACATTTTGAAAGAGGTGGTATGTTGTTTATGATCAAAAAGACTCGAAACACGTCTATCGAGATTGTAGCGGCCTCCAGCGAGTGCCGCTGATCTGGAGCGCTCCGGATGATGATGATGATGATGATGATGATGATGATGATGATGATGATGATGATGATGATGATGATGATGGTGATGGTGATGGTGATGGTGATGGTGATGGTGATGGTGATGGTGATGGTGATGGTGATGGTGATGATGGTGATGATGGTGATGATGGTGATGATGGTGATGATGGTGATGATGGTGATGATGGCGATGATGGTGATGTGACGATGGTGATGGTGATGGTGATGGAGATGGTGAGGATCCCCGTCCCCCCCCCCCCACCCCCCCCTCCTCTCCCCTGTCCCCCCCCCTCTCTCCTGTCCCCCCTCCCCCCCCCCTCTCTCCCCCCCCCCCCCCTCTCTCCTGTCCCCCCCCCCCCCCTCTCTCCTGTCCACCCCTCCCCCCTCCCCCCCCCTCTCTCCTGTCCCCCCCCCACCCCCTCTCTCCTGTCCCCCCCCCGTCTCTCCTGTACAATTACTCAATATGAATACTCCCCGATGGCGGCCTGGAAGTAGCCGACCCCCCCCGCGTATTGTTTTTTTACACACCGGATTCCCGGGAGTTGGGTTTTCGCCTGCGTTTTTTTTCAAAATGCTGCTCTCGCTGAGGCGCCGGCTTCATTTCTGCTCCCGAATCGTTCCGAATCGTGCTCCCGCTGCAGCGTGGGCCTCATTTTCGGATCGGTGTTTGGCCTCCGTCGTTCAGGATGGCGTTCTCGCCCCAGCGCGGGCCTCTTTCTCGCGCGCCCATCCGCCCGCCACCACCGCGCCGCCGCACCACCACCACCACCACCACCACCACCACCACCACCACCACCACCACCACCACCACCACCACCACCACCACCACCACCACCAACCACAACCACGCACACACGCACGCACGCACGCACGCGCACCACCACCCACTACGCACGCGCGCGCGGAGCCACAGGTCCGCTACGACACGCGTCCGCGGATAGAGAAAATCAGCGCCATGGTAAGGGATGGGAGGGAGGGGTAGGACGTCAGATATGACGCGAGCGCACCTAGCTTGCCCCCCCCTCCCTCCTCTCTCTTTTCCCCCACCCCCCCCCCCCCTCTCTCCTGTCCCCCCCCCCCCCCTCTCTCCTCCCCCCCCCCTCTCTCCCCCCCCCCCCTCCCCCCCCCCATCTCTCCCCCCCCCCTCTATCCTTTCCCCTCCCCCTCTATCCTGGGGGGCTGGCAGGGGGGGGAGGTGCCGAGCACTGAATTCGTTAGTTAATTACGTCGCCCCCCCTCCTCCCAAGCAGAGCTACAACTCATACTGAAGCAGAGCTTTAGCTTAGACTTATTAAACTCACACGCCAGATCTGCGGATTTGCAAAGATAATGGGCCAATATTCGCAGTGTACTTACTGTTTGTGACTTTGCACGCCTGCGCCATGATGCCCTTCAAAGGTTGGTACATTGTGTTCGGATGATGTCTCTATTGTTGGTTGGCTTTTTGTATTTGCAAGATGGATATTTGGTATCATGATCAGCCACGTTCTATCCCCGCTGTTGCAATGGTCATCGCAAAAAGGTATATCAGCAGCTCTTCCTGGTTACCCTCAGGAGACGCCCATGCCAAACCACCAGAACGGATTCCCATTACGTCCGTTTATGGAATCGGAGGGAGGGCGTATCTATGAGATTCTCCAGGCGATTGGTGGCAGGAGGCGGCCTAAACTCACGTTTTTGTTTCCGCAAGGTTGATGCCCACATACATTCATCCTAAGATTTTGATCGATCCTCTTCTAAGCGAAGAGCGACGGAACTCATACAGAACAGAGCTCTCTTCCGTGTACTCGGTTGGCACAACCAGGAATGCTTTTGCAGCTTACCTTCTATATCGTATCCCTACGCAGGCGATGTGTTGGGCAATGACCATGTGCGCCGCCCGTTTTTACAATGTTGAAGGATATCTTGCATCTCTCCAGGCCGCATGTCTCGAGCGGTATGCTACGACGTATTTCATATCGCTGAAGGAAATCGCTGAGAAGGCCGCGATGGTGAACTTGCAAGGCGCTCATGATGCTGTGCTTGAGCTTGGGTACCGCATATGAAATGTCCCTTGCCGGATGGGAAGCATTTTGTCGGAGGGGAGGCCCGACGTTGCCCCATCGGCCAGACTACTGCTGCTGCACCTCGCCTTGCCGTTGCGCAGAAAAAAACAACAACGACGACGACGACGACGACGACAACAACAACAACAAAACATGGTCCGCACTGCGGACCGACATCCGACTCGGCACCCCCCCCGCACGTCTCGTGACCCCAAAGGGAGCTCCACCGAAGGCCCCAGTGGCACAGTCCGCAAGGCGTACCCGCATCCGATTCGGCACACCTTTCACACGCGCCGTGGCCCCAAAGGGAGCCCCACCGATGGCCCCAGCAGCACAGTCCGCATGGCGTACCGGCACCCGCTTCAGCGCACCCCTCACACGTGCCGTGGCCTTCCAGGGAGCTTCACCGAAGGCCCCATTGACAGTCCGCGTGGCGTACCCGCAACCGATTCGGCACACCCCTCACACGCATCATGACCCCATACGAAGCTCCACCCAAAGGCACCAGCGGCACAGTCCGCATGGCGCACCTGCACCGTGGCAAACCATTCACACGTTCCGTGGCCGATTAGGAAGTTCCACCGAAGGCCCCAGCGGCACAGCCCGCAAGGCGAATCCGCACACGATTCGGCACGCCTCTCACACGCTTCGGGACCTCACGGGCAGTTTCGCGAAAATCCCCAGCGGCAAAGCCCGCATGGCGCACCCGCACCCGAGACGGCACACCCCTCACACGTTCCGTGGCCCTCCAGGGAGCTTCATGGAAGACCCCAGTGGCACAGTCAACATACTTGGTGCACCCGCACCCGATTCGGCACGCGCCTCTCCTCTCAGGTTTCGTGGCCCCAGAGGGGGCTCCATCGAAGGCCCCAGCAGCACAGCCCGCGTGGCGCACCCGCACCCGATTCGGCACACACCCCACACCTTCGTGGCCCCATAAGGAGCCTCGCCGAGGGCCCCAGCGGCACAGTCCGCGTGGCGGGCCCGCACCCGATCCGGCACACCCTCCACACGTTTCGTGGCCCCGAGGGGGGCTCCTCAGCGAGCGAAGAACGGTATAAAATAAACTTTCCGCCGTCGGGGACACCTGCCCCTGGGCGGCTGGAAAGTTTATACCCCTACGGTGCCACCGTAAGGGTATAAACTTTCCAGCCGCCCTTGGGCAGGTGTCCCCGACGGCGAAAAAGTTTATGTTATACCGTTCTTCGCCCGTTAAGCTCCACCAGCAACGACTCTCACAATTGCGGTATTTGCAGTCGCAGATGGTGGGGTCCTTCGCCAGGCGAATGTCACCAGGGATCGCAGCCGTGTCACAGGGGTGAAAGCACGGCCGTGTGCACAGAAATGGATTCTGTTTACAGTCGCGAAGTTTGTGCCAAGGGTCGTAGCCGTGTGGTAGCTTTATCAGCACGGCCATGTGCACCAGAGTGCCTCTTTTACATGGGATCGTGGCCGCCCGGACAACCAAGATTGCTGACATTGACGCGAGAGCACAGTTCATGAATATATTGCGAGGGAGTATCAGGACAAACGCCAGCCGGCACTGGCGTTCTCGGGTTCCCCGTCCCTCTTGTGGGACATTCCGTTTGTTCTTTGCCAGTATTAGCACCTTTTGGCGAAACGTCATTCAGGACCGAGTGTCCAACATGGCGTCAAGACGACCCGACGGTAACCTCAGGACGACCCCAAGAGGACCCCATGATTTTTACATGATCCTAACTCGGCTTCTGGATAGCCTCAGGGCGACCCCAAGGTGGCCCAAACTAAGCAATCCGTAGCCATTTTGGCTCAAGCCATTTCAGATCGAGGATTGTTTTGGCCGTACACTCGTTACATAAACTTGGTTCCAAGTACACGCACGGGATATTGTTCCCTCCATTCGTTCTGCGGCATGGCAGCCTTCAGGGCGCCATGGACCGTGTTTGCGGCGGCGGTCTTTGCCCCCCGCATGCCCACAGCGGTCTCTCTCAAGACGGAGTCCAGCGCCAACACGACGAACACATGGGTGCAGTTGTTAGACAATTTCGAATATTACGGGGAGCGGATGCCCTCATATGCTACACCAATGAACTACGGTTCTTTCACACAGTTAAAGGCTGTGTACCAAAGTGGAAGTGGCATCTATTGTGATACGAGGAGGTCGGGTGGCACCGTCTGGCAACAGTGTTGTTGTGGGTACAATTCTTTCGAGGCCATGAAGAATGGAGGGTACATCGTGTCACAACCCAATTGGCATACGTTGCCTTCCAATTGCTACGCGTCTGGATCGACCGAAATCATCTGCAATGTCAACTTCGACATAGCAAGCGGCGATACCATTCTGGCCACGTGGTACGAGCCTTCCCGCTCATCATCGCTCGGTGACAATGGCGGCAGCATCCAGGTGGATTTGTACGGCTATGGGACGGCAGCGGATCCTACCGTTTGTTTCGGGGCGCGTGGCAATTCGTACGGTTCTTTCTACATCAGCACGGCCGTTTCAGTCTCTAACGTGTTGATGACATATTCCAGCGGTAATGTCTATAATTCGGGAGGGCAAGAGGTCACGAAGTGGGGGAATTCAGTTTGGTTCGGTGTGTTCATGACCGACTCGAACAACAACGTAGTGTTTCCCGACTACACCAACAACGGGAACACCGTGACGAACACGCATGGTGGTGGATGGTACACAATTGCCGGTGCCAGCTCCCAATCAGATCCCCAATTCACGTGGCAAACGACTACGGCTAAGACGTTGTCGGCCGGAGAGTACCGATTGTGGTACGGTGAGGATCTATATGATTACACAGAGACTGACAACGGCGGGACCATGTGCGCTAAAATTCAGATTAACGGTGGTGCGACGCCCAGCCCGACGCCCTACCCGACGCCCTACCCGACACCTTATCCGACGCCCTACCCGACGCCCTACCCGACGCCTTACCCTACGGCCTACCCGACGCCCTACCCGACGCCTTACCCGACGGCCTTCCCAACGCCTTTCCCGACGGCCTTCCCGACGTCCTACCCGACGGCCTTCCCGACGCCATACCCGACGCCCTACCCGACGCCCTACCCGACGGCCTTCCCGACGGGCTTTCCGACGCCTTTCCCGACGCCTTTCCCGACGTCCTACCCGACGGCCTTCCCGACGCCCTACCCGACTGCCTTCCCGACTGCCTTCCCGACGCCCTACCCGACTGCCTTCCCGACGCTTTTCCCGACGCCCAGCCCGACGCCCAGCCCGACGTATCCTCCAGGTTGGCCGACGCCACATCCGACGTTCCCTCCTGCAGCTCCAGCTGCGGCCGGAGCTGGCGGAAGCGTGGCTGCCATTGGCGACCCTCACCTTCAAAACGTTCATGGCGAGCGGTTCGATTTGATGAAGCAGGGCAAGCATGTTCTGATAAACATCCCTCGTGGAATGAGCGCTGAAGACTCATTGCTTCATGTGCAAGCCGATGCGCGCCGGCTTGGTGGAAGGTGCGCGGACATGTATTTCCAAGAAGTGAACGTTACAGGGTCTTGGGCAGAAGCCAAACAAGTTGGAGGGTATCACCACAGCGTATCGCAAAGTGCGGTCGAGGCTCCGCAATGGGTTGCGTTCGGTTCAGTCCAGTTGAAAGTCGCGCATGGACGTACGGATAGTGGCGTCCGGTATCTGAATGTGTACGTGAAGCATTTAGGGCTAGCAGGGTTTGCTGTCGGAGGCCTGCTGGGAGAAGACGACCACAAAGACATAATGACTCCCCCAGCGGCTTGCAGTAAGCATACGTGTCTATCCGCGGGGGGCGCGATTGGCCAGGCTTCCTCCTCCGTGTCGTCGGTTGCATTGGCAACCTTCGAGTGATCTTGCGAGGCGCCTTGGAAGTTGCGTGCAGTCTGCATTCAAGATGCTCAAATGAATAGCGTCGGAAGGGCTCGCTGTTCCTCATTCCATGCCTGTTCCACTAGCGCGCCTCGTCCTCTCAGGCGCTCTCAGAGCCCACGCGGTCCTTTCAATCGGCGCATGCGCCGTTGCTTGCGTCAACTGGGCGTAGGCACTCCAGGCAGTTGCTCCACTGGTGATCCGTGCGAGCAACTTGCTTATTCTGAGAAGCTGGACGAGGTCCATCAACAAAAAAAATATGGCCCAAACTAAGCAAAGTATGAGTAACGGGTGACCCCGAGATGGCCCGATTACCACATAATATATCCCAGGCGACCCCAAGTTCGCGTAAAATGTGCTAGGAGACGAACAAGGTCCCAGCATGATCCGGACATGATTGATTCGCTTTGCTCGTGCTGCCAGCCGATGCCGCATCAATGTTGCTACCTGGCTGTGTGCTCGTGGCGAATGAGACGGAGGAGGTGGAACAGGAGGAGGAGGAGGAGTAGGAGGAGGAGGCATCTCGATGTTCTCTTGGGGCACTCGTGGGGCCAGACGGGGTCGTGGACAAGACGCCTCTTCAAGAGGTTTCGTAGTGTCTTCCAGGAGGCGTCTCGGAGCCCCGTTGGCGGCATTGTCGTGACTTCCTGATTCCTCTTGGGGCCGTCTTTTGGTTCTTTGGGGGCCTCTGGGGGGTCTCTTGGGAGCTTGCTGGCGGTCTCGGGAGCCATGCTTAGGGGAAGGCTCGGCATATCAGTGCGGATTCACCCCAGGAGGACGAGGAGGACGAGGAGGGCGAGGAGGACGAGGGGGACGAAGAAGACGAGGAGGACGAGGAGGACGAGGAGGGCGAGGAGGGCCAAGAGGGCGCGAGGAGGACAAGGAGGGCGAGGAGGACCAGGAGGGCGAGGACGTGGGCGACGAGGAGGGCGAGGACAAGGAGGCCAAGGAGGCGCAGGACGTGTAGGGCGGACGAGGACGGGGAGGACATTGGGGAGAGCGATGGAGGGGCGGGGCAGGGGCGGGTGGACTTCTCTGTTGCTGCCCAGCTCCACGAGAAGTGGACGGAGACCATCGTCTTCGGGCTCCCCCTGGCTTCCGCAACGGGCGGCGGCGAAGCCGGCGACCCAGATCTCGGACGATACCATGCTTTCAACACGTGTAACTGCCCCCTGTGATATCCCACCCGCTCATGCGACTGCTACCAATGATACAAAACTATTCCCTCCACCCTCCCCCACACTGTTTCTCGTCGTCTGCTACTGTAGCTGCTGCTACGCCTGTCACTGTTGCTGCCGCTGCTGGCATTCGTCTGTGTAAATGATCCTGAGGGCATTTCATCGTCGCATTCACGGGCGCATGACGGGCCAGGCGTCTCGCGTAAGATCTTTCTTAGTCAGTTCATGAGCATCGAATTCTGAAATCTCAGGAGTCGCACGAATCGTTTCCAACAGTTCCCGGAAGTAATGATGGATTCTGAGTTTGCAGAGAGGGAGTCACGGCAGGCTTTAAGAGGGAAATTCGCACGCAGGTATGTTGCAATCAGTGGGTGGTGGGGGTATGGTTTCGACCAGGGTCGGCACCATTCGTTGCAATGATTCTCAGAATCATCTTGGCGTCCCTTAGCGGACTTGGGAGACAACAGAGGGCATTTGGGGGCCCGTGGGGCGCGAAGTGCTTCATGATTGTGCCGAAATGAGGCTCCAGTCAGCCATCTTCAATGGCCCGCTGAACTCGTCGGGGGTCTATGAGGTCGACGTGTAAGGGAGCGTGCCGAAATGAGTCTCACGTGAACCGTCTTGAGGGCCATGGGGCACGAAGTGCGTGAGGGGTGTGCCGAGTG